TGTAATCTTATAAACCTCAATCATGTCACCCCTCAGCCATCATTTCTCCAAGCTAAAGAGCCCCAAGCGCGTTAACTTTTCTTCATAGGTCTTGATCGGCAGAGCTCAAGACTTTCCGGGGCACATCTGGGGAGAGGTGGTCCCTCGGATATGTCAGTTCCAGGCTGCACAGGGCTTTAAAGGTCAGCACCAATACCTTGAAATGAATCCAGTACTCAATCGGTAGCCAGTGCAGTTGCCGTGACGCTGGCCAAATGTGTGCCCGCACAGGCGACACAGTCAGCAGGCATGCCTCAGCAATCAGCAGGCGTGCCGCCGCATTTTGCACTAGCTGGAGTTTTCAGATCAGCCACAAGGGCAAGCGCCACGTACAGCAAGTTGCAGTAATCAAGCCTGGAAGCGACCACTGCGTGGGTCACTGTAGCCAAATCCTGGGGGGAGAGGAAGGGAGCCAGTTGCATCATCTGCTGAATTAGAGATGAAACCTTTTCGTTTTCATGAAAACATACATTCACTTCTGGTAATCTTTATTTATTTATTTATTTTTCACATTTATATCCCGCCCTCCCCAGTGGGCTCAGGGCGGCTAACAAGGGCAGGGTAATTAGCCGTGCCATAATTAAAAACATATAAAACATAATAAAAACATCCAACACTTAAAACAATGGTGCTCAGTCAATTACCGTATTTTTTGGACCATAAGACTCACTTTTTCTTCCAAAAAAAGTGGGAGGAAAAGTGAGTGCGTCTTATGGACCAAAGGTTCAGAATATTTTTTTCCCTGTTTTCCTCCTTTAAAAACTAGGTGCGTCTTAAGGTCAGGTGCGTCTTATGGTCCGAAAAATACGGTACTAATCTCATACGTACAGGATAGAATCAACACAGTTCCAGGTGGTACTCCCATGATATTTATGCCCAATGGCGACGGCTTATTGGGTCTTCTTTACGTTGTGCAGGTTATGTGGGGAAAGGCGGTCCCTCAGGTAGGTTGGACCCTGGCCATATAGGGCTTTATAGGTAAGAACCAGCACTTTACCATTTATCTCATACTTGGGCTCTCTGGTGGGGTTTTAAAACTTTTCCCACCTTCTTTCCTTTCACCTGTTGTGACACGTCATTAGCTAAATTACATTTTTATGTTTGAAGAACATGGTTTCTGTATTTGAGAAGCTGCTGTCCTTCCTTAAGTGCATCTGCTCAAATAGGACGGTCGACTGTGAAGGTTTTATCACTTAACTGTAACCCTCAATTTTCAAGCAATTCCATGTAACAGGATTCTTAAACATTAGTATTTACCTTTCCTTTTCCAGTGCAGAGTTGGCTTAAATAAATTAAAATAGTAATCTTTGTTAATCAGATGTCTAAAAAGTTTAACAAAACTTCCATTCAAATAGAAGTAAAGAAAAATGTTGTACGTATTTCTTGGATCTTTTTGACCTCATGATTAAAAAAGGCAGACAACAAGTGAAACACCATTAACATGTCAGATTTCTGTTCTTTAGGTCCACTTTGCTCTTCTTTTTTTAAAAAAGTTACCATTAAATTATCATTCTGTGGGCTGGTATATTTTAACCTTTATTTAACAAACCTTGATTTTAGATTTGCAGACCTGTCTGTTTTAGCAGTTGTTAATGGTGCTGGTGACAGATGTTCAGGTGATAGTGTTTATTAACACCTTTCTTCAAGTAAACTTAAATGAATGTACATATGTACAGTAAAAGTAAAGATTCCCTTGCTCGAAAGCCAGTCAAATCCAACTCTAGGGTTGCGGTGCTCATCTCCGTTTCAAAGCCGAAGAGCCAGCACTGTCCGAAGACGTTTCCGTGGTCATGTGGCCGGCATGACTAAACACCAAGGTGCACAGAGTGCTGTTACCTTCCCACTGAAGTGGCACCTATTTATCTACTTGCAATTTCTTGCTTTCGAACTGCTAGGTTGGCAGGAGCTGGAACTAGAGACGGGGACTCACTCCGTCATGGGGCAACTCGGATCTCGAACTGCTGAACTACCGACCTTCCACAGCCTGCAGTTCAGCGTCTTAACCACTTGCGCCACCTTAACATTAAAATTATTTATGACCCGCATAGCTATCAACTGGGAACAGTCCCAGATATATTCCCATCACTGGAAAAATTATGTTCAATTTATTTATTATGTTCAATTTATAGCCCACCCTTCCCTGCATAGCAAGGCTCATATCCTAGCTGTACGGTGTGATGCTTCTGAGGGCATACAAACAGGAATATGCATGTCAAAAGACGTTTAAAAGCAGTATTGATTTCTTGGGCTAAGCACAGGTTAAGCTAGAAAGCCAGGAGCCTCCGCAGCAAAAATAATGGAACGCTGAGCTCCTGCCCCTTGCTTTTCAAGAAGGCAGTGAAGAACATTCCTTATTCTTATAGACAAGAGAAATCTTTACAAAAACCACCTTAGTTTACTGACCACAGTTTTGACATCATTTGGGAAACTGTTACAGAAAGGAGGCATTCCCCCCCACCCCGCCGCCTGCTCTAGGATAGAACACAGCGTTCTTGTCTTTTTGTACTGATTTTACGTATTTCTATGCTCAAATGTAGGCTTTAAATAACAAGCTGTCATTCACCTGTCAGTTAATAACTATAAACCATTTTAGAATTTCTCTTCTCAGAACAAGTTCCAAAATATAGAACACTTTCACTTAAAAATAACATTGCTTTGTGTGCCCTTTCATTACGCTCCCAGAAAGCAAATGGAAGGACTTGTCTCTAGCTAACAGTGCAAGGCTCCCAGCAAATCTCTAGAAACGTCCAGTTGTCATTTTTTTTTCTGCACCAGTTGGCAGCGACGTGATGTGTTTTGTAGAATTGTTGGATGCACAAAAACGGCTTGCACATGAGTGGAGGATGTTCCCACACCAGGCTATGCTTTTGAGAGGCCAAATGGTTAAGTGAAGCAGTAGACTGGAGGTTCTGGATGCAGTTTTAGCTCTGTGTGTGTGTTCTGTTTAGATTAGCCCAGTGAACTGGCTTGCACATGAGAAGTAGTGTTGTGATGACTTTCAGGCAAGGACTGACAGTGATTTCGCTGTCAGATGGTGATCAGCTTCTTTAACAGCTGCGTTTTACAAACGTACACCCAGCATTACATATATGTAAGGGGGGGAAATTCTGCTCAGTGGAGTGTTGCTAACAGCGCCTTTGGCTATTTGTTTGGAGGCGACCACTTAATTATAATAAATGAGAGCTTTAAGCCTGTTCCCCAAATAAATTATTCTTTTTAATTCTGTGTCCCTGAGAACTGATGTTGCTTATTGGAAGAGAGAAGTAAACTGCATTAGTTCCCTTGTGAAAGACTATTAGAAGCAAATAAATGTACAAAATGGCATTTTGATTCCAGAAGCTAAGTTCAAACAGGTTTACTTTCCTAAAACTCCTTTCCTTTTATGCATAGGTTGCCAACTTGGCCTGTTCCATCTCAAATAACGAAGAAGGTGTGAAATTAGTTCACATGTCAGCAAGCCAGCTTGAAGCACTCTGTCCTCAGGTAAATTAACAGGCAAATGAAGCTGTGCATCAGTCCCGTGCTTTTGTCTTCTGTGAAAGAAGGGAAACTTGCATCTATTGGTCTTGTACAATGCTGTGACCGGATCAGTGGGGGTGGGTTGGAAGGCAGAACATTAAATTGTCTTCGGATTAAGAATGAAAAAAAAAAGCCTGGTCTCTTCCTTTTTTTTTTTTTTTTTTTACTGAGAGCTGATGTAGCAAAAAATGGTGCTGCAGTTAGTAAACCCCGAGCTTGAATCTTGCCATGGGGACATTTGGCCATCCACTCTTCTTCTGCCTTAAGCTTTGCTAATTAATTGTCTTCTCAGTTCCATAAAAATGCAAATCTGAAAATTCACTGATAAAAATTAAGAACCTTGTCTTGCATTACAGGTAATTAATGCAGCATTAGCTTTGGCTGCCAAGCCACAAAGCAAACTAGCTCAAGAAAACATGGAGATGTTTAAAGAGCAGTGGGAAAAGCAAGTCCGTGTGCTGACAGATGCAGTGGATGACATCACTTCCATTGATGACTTCCTGGCAGTATCAGGTAAGGGGCTATGGTTGGCAATGATTCTTCCAAGTCTAGCTTTATTAGTTATTAAACAGCAGTGGTACTGGTGTCCCGTCTTCCTGCAGGAATGTAGCATGAGTTTTTTGTGGAATCATAGAGTTGGAAGGTACCTCCAGGGTCATCTAGTCCAACCCCCTGCATGGTGCAGGAAATTGACAAATACATCCCACACACACCCCCAGTGACCAGTGTTCCCCCTAAGCTGAGTTAGGGTGAGCTAGCTCACAGTTTTTTAGCCTCTGGCTCACACATTTTTGTCTTTGCTCAGGAGGGATGGCTCCAGGGGAAACTAATTCATGCAGCAGCCAAATCACTCGCTCACAACTTTAATGCCAGGAGCTCACAAAGCAGGGTTTTTGCTCACAAGACTCCACGGCTTAGAGGGAGCATTGCCAGTGACCACTGTTCCCCTCCCAGAAGATGACAAAAGAGCCTATTTTGTCAGATATGTGGACAGTGAAAGTCTCTAATAGATGCAGAGCAGGGGTAGATACATTCATTTGTATCTATCTTACTTTACAATAAGATACTCCAGTCAGCTGAAGTTAATGAGGCCCTGAGGGTAGACATTTCTTGGAACATGTAGTTGTGAGAGCTTTTAGCCCACAACCTGTTGCGCTGTAAAAGCTTTCACACTTTGTCCTCACCTACAGTTAACTTCACATTAGGGAACAGCCAGGGTTATAAGGCCATTGACACTGCCGTGGCTGGGCAAATTCATTTCTCCCATTTGTCAGCATTCATGGTGTCCCCAGAACAATACCTCTTCAGCAACTAACCTCAAGCAATGACACTCCATGTCATTAATTTCTTTTTTGCATTCTGTATCCATGCCGCAATTTGGTGAGGCTCATTATGGTTGTCTGTGATGGGTGATATTGTAAAACAAGTTAACTTTTGATGTACAAATGCTTTTCCTGTAGATTCTTAGGAAGCAAATCTATTTATACTGTTTGGCTTATTTGCTGACACAAATTGTTTTGGATAAATGAATAGTAGATCCGGCTTCTGCCAAACTTTAATTTGCATGTTGTTTCCTTGCACACAGTGTCTTGAATTATGTATTTGATTCTATAGCCTGCAGCCAAGGGCTCTGTTTTCTGTCTTTAAAGTGCCTGGCTACTGCATGTACTTTGGAGCAGATAATGGCAAGGAAGGTGTTGTGGCCTCGTCCTCAGAAGAATCAGCAATGGCAGAAGCTCACGTTCTTGCCCCGTGCAGAACCCCGGTCACCTCACTTATTGGAGCCCCAGAGTTTGACTAGGTCACCTTTGGCTTCAGTCCCATTCTGTTGCCCATTGCTATGTGTGTTCCTTTAGCCCAGTAGTCATCCCGCAGTGGCCTAAACCTGGTGCTTCATTAAGATTTAATGTTATGCTTAACTGGGGACTATTCTTTGCTAAAAATACTCTGAGCAAGAATTCTCTTCATTTCATTCCCAGTTAATGATAGATCGCTATATTTAGGAAACCTTGTAGGGTGGCTTGTGTGTTGTTGGGTTTTTTTGCTATGGATGCTCTGAGTTTCCTAGCAAGTTGTCAGTGTTGAGAACTGTCAACAGAAGTGTAGTAATTTTTTACGCATGGCCAGGAGGCTCTGAGCGTAATTGCACACAGGCGTGTGCTGCAAGAGAGAACTGGGGAGAGAGTGCCAGCTGTCTAGGGGCCACTTTATGCACAGTTAACTTTTCCCCTGTGTGGAAATTCTCATACCGGGGGGGCATGGACCTAACTTTCAGCACCTGTTTGCATACAACATGCCATGCTTTGAGCGATGACATACGTTTTTTGTGTGTGGCAAAAGTACCTGTGGATCCCTGTGATGTGCATGCTTGCACTCTGGATGTCTCTCGCCTTCTGTTGTCATTGTGACACTGCAGCTTACTGCAACGCGTGCTGTCTGGCTGCTTTTTGCTACTGCTTTCCGTATATTATGAGCACAGGAGCCGTTGAGGAAGGGGAAGTCATTGAGGCACCATAATGCTACATGTTGGCAGGAGATCTCCCCTTTCCCTCTCCTCTCTCCATAGCCAAGCACTCTGCTGCACATACAATTCACAGCACAGTTTGTTTAGTTCCACTGGCTTCTTGTTTGAAGACCCTCGACAAGTTCCTTTATTGTGGCAGCAGTGGTCAAGAATTCTCCCCAGAAGTCTTGAAAGAAGAGAGGGAGCTAGGGCTGCCAAGCCACGGCGGGGGATCTGTGCGTCTTCACAGGATCCCTGCCGCGGGGGACAGCGATATGCGTTGCGCCGCTGTCGCCAGGATGTGACGCTACACGTCACTCTGGCAACGGGGCTGTTTGGAGTCCCTTTGCCAGAGCGACGCGTAGCGTCATATCCTGGCGACAGCGGTGCAACGCGTATCGCTGTCCCCCGCGGCAGGGATCCTGTGAAGACGCACGGATCCCCCGCCACGGCTTGGCAGCCCTAGAGGGAGCTGACAACCAATGGAAAAGCGAGGCTGAAAGAATCTCTCACGTAGTTTAGCTACAGGAAGAGTTTGTTGCGGTACACATGCTGGAAACTTTGTAGGACCAAGTCCTCGGTGCCCCGGTTCTCAAAGAGATGAGCTCTAGCTACAGGGGTTCATTCATTGGATTGAACTGCAAAATGTTTGGCTAAAGTCCTCGTAATTATATAGAGACCTTGTGAAATTAGGTAGGCAACATAGGCTTTCATGCTGTATCCAGCTTGCAAAAGTGTTCTGTTGACAAGCGGCAGACGTGACAGCTGCCCAGGGCTAACTTGGGTTGTGTTGCGTCCTGTGGGTTTTTACGTTGACAACGCATGTGGGCAGCTCTTCTAATCTCCTTAGATTGGTTGGCTGCTTTGTTGTTGTTTTTTTAACTAAACTTGCTCCCTGGTATATTATATATAGCTAATCGTGCCTTAAAAATCAGTTATCCACAAAACAGCATTTGCGAAGGGAGAGAGATCTTGGGATGCTTCCGATGTCTGCCTGGAGTACATTCCTGGCTTTCATTAGACAATTTCAAAATAGCCTTTTCTTGTAAAGAATGTGTCGTGAGGGGAACACCCAACTTTAGAAGTTTTCAGAATGCACTATAAAGTTGTTCTGTTTGCATTTAATGGTGTTTAAACTTCAGGCATTTTGGTGAGGCTTACTGTGTTTTTGTTTTGTCTGGGTTTTTTGTTTTTGGAGTTGTAAGTTGCCCTGATCATCAAGGGATAGGTGGGGGTATAAATGTTTTAATAAGATATGAACAAAAAATATTAGAAGTGCGTACCAAACCATAGAAAACAGGATGGGAACATGTTTCCTGTAATAAAAAATCTAAGTTTTACATTAAAAGCATAACTCTTCCAACCTAACACCTTCACTGTCACATTGAAGTACCTGGAAAAGTGGAGCTCGAAGAGATTCAGTGTGCTTGCACACGAAAGCTTTAAACTTTGAATAAAACTTTGTTGGTCTTAAAGGTGCCAACTGGACTCACACTTTGTTCTGGAAAAATATAGTACAGTAAAGCATGAAACTGTCAAAGCTACCTGAAGAATAGGGACACGTTATCATTATAAACTGGAGCATCTCCCTCTTCAAAGCTCCTTGGGTTCAGTGGGACAAGTGCAGCAAGACGTGTTCTGTTCTGATCAAATAGTTATTAAGCCTGTGTTCAAAGATTCGATTGGACTGCAGCCCTCAGTTGCCAGATTGATCTGTAAAACATTTCGTAACATTGACTGGTGTATGGTCATATTTTTATACCCACAACATATAAAAGACTTAAAACCCAGTAGATGGTTACATTCATCTGTAGCTGAAAAATGGAAGTAAAGGGATTTTTTTATGAATGGGATCTCTCTAGTCAATTGGGTTTGTGTTCATTGCATGACATCGAGTGTGTGTGGCTTTTGACAGCCTTAACCATTTTTATTATATTAATGCTTCAAAGAAGTGTATTTAAAGCATGCTCATATTGATGTAGACATCAGGGTAAAATGTTACTTTCTAAATTCCTTCTTTTACCACCAGAGAATCATATTCTGGAAGATGTAAACAAGTGTGTCATTGCTCTTCAAGAAAAAGATGTTGATGGCTTAGATCGCACTGCCGGCGCAATTCGTGGCCGTGCAGCCAGGGTAATTCATGTTGTCACTTCTGAAATGGATAATTATGAACCCGGAGTCTACACAGAAAAGGTTCTAGAAGCAACAAAACTGCTGTCAAACACAGGTAAGCTGTTTCATCCAGTTTTTTAGTTTTAGCCTTTTAAAATGCCATTCTGCATAGGTATTTGGTATGGCATCTATATCATTAGGTACTGTAGACATACAGAACTTTTCTGTGTGTTTTGGGTGTATTAGTGTCGAGGTGAGTCCCCTTACATTCAGTGCATTTCCCTGGAATATCTGCTTGAGAGTTGGCTTTAATGTAGCCTTAATCTCATGTCCGTGTGCTCCATTCAAAATACAGAAAATAGAGTCATCAGGAAGTGACAGACTTGTGGAGACAGGATGTAACAAGTGTTCTATTAGAACAGTTTTCTTTATCTAGAAGTACAAAGGCATGGACAAGGGTGAACTGGGGCTTTAAAAGGTGCATTAAAAAGTGTGCATTTTAATGCACACTTCTATTTCTCTGGCCTTGAAGTGTGCCTGCACTGTCAAACTATCAAATGCCAGCCAGCCGCCAGTTATTTATCAACATAATGTAAAGGCATGTTAGAAAGGTCTGCTTCACCATTCGGTCTTCACAGAAAACCACAGTGGGCACTTAGTTCACTCTGACCTTGAATTAAGTTGAATTAATCATAAAATCAATACCCTAGTTCAGAATAATTTGTTGTTGGTATTGACTGCTGTATTCAGCTCAAGTGCTGTGTTTGTGTCCGTTGTAAGCTTCATCTTATAAGAACACACTGAGGCATCTTTGTGCAGAGGCCATAGTATTGTCTAGGATGTCATTAATTTAATTGCATTTTTAGGTATACAAAGTGTGCTAGTGTGCTGCATGAACATTTTTAAAAGGTTGTAATCAGTACTTGGTTCCAGTGTCCTTAGGGAACATTAAGCAGAACTTTGCACAGAAAAGACCTACCCTCGTCCATTCCACAAGGTAATTGTGCCACTGCCCACTGTCCCTGCAGCAGTGGATTATATGTGGCGCAACCTGCAGAAGATTCTTAAGCAATCTATGGCCAATTTGCCAAAATTGGCCAGCAGCACATTGATAGGTTTTTACTTTTATTGAACACAGCATTGATTACACCATTAAATGGCGGTGTTACCAATAGGTAAATAAAGATGACTTGTACCGCCTGCCTCAAATTCCTGTATTCTTTCTGCAGAGAAGCCGTCTGTAGTATATATAAGCTACAGCATATTTGGGCATAACGTACATTAATGATTCTTTCATTCTAATAAGAGGAGCACATGGATTGAATACACGAGGCAGATTAATGTTTTTGGTTGGTTTCTGTGTATGAGGCAACAGGATCTAGTCTCTTGCCTTGCTGAAAAATTCATCGTTGCATTCTGGTTTCAAGAATTTTTGTGTGTTCTGTGTGTTCCTCAGTGATGCCACGTTTTACTGAACAAGTAGAAGCTGCTGTGGAGGCGCTGAGTTCCGACCCTGCTCAGCCAATGGATGAAAATGAATTTATTGATGCTTCTCGGTTGGTGTATGATGGAATTCGTGACATCAGAAAAGCTGTATTAATGATTAGAGTAAGTGAGCAAGCCTCTACTTGCTGGAGACTGCATTCTCTTTTTTTAAAAAAAAATACATGTTTTATTAAAAGGCACACAACACTAAATAATGAATCCATGCACACATCTCCACAAGCCGTGGGGCTTATGATTATTGTATCAGATAGAGCTCATTAGTCCATACTTCTGTCCATGGTTGCGTCGCTGTCGCTCCTTCAGAAAGAGAAGTGCTTGTCTCCCATGCCAGTCGTGAAAGCAGCACACATCAGCAGAGGAGAGGAAAGGTTCTGCTTACCTTGTTCTTCTCACGTCCAAAAGGAGGGACAGCCCCAAGACACTTGCTTTCATTCAAGCGTAACAAATTTGCTTATGAGGTTACTTAACCCTCTTTCCACCCCCGCCAATCACCCCCAGACACCGGCTAACCTGAAGACTGAGGATTTGAATCCAAGGCCTAGTCTTCAAATCAGCAGGCCCCTGGGGGTTCTGAGCAGTGCTCCCTTTAAGCTTAGTGTGAGCTAGCTCACATATTCTTAGTTTTTGGCTCACACATTTTTTTCTTAGCTCAGGAAGGATGACTCCAGAGCAAGCTTAATTTATGCAGTAGCCAAATTGCTCACCCACAACTTTAATGCCAGTAGCTCATAAAGTAGAATTTTTGCTCACAAGACTTCACAGCTTACAGGGAGCATTGGTTCTGAGTTTCTGTTAGTGTGGTGGGAAGTTGTGACATAGCATTTTGAAGTCCTAAAAATCAGAAGACAGTGGGTAGATAAAGAGCAAGTTCCTTCCTACTTTCCAGTCCAAGCCCAATGCAGGAGTTTTTCTGGGGCTGAATCTGAGGGTTTTAAGAGCCACATCCTGCAGTTTCTCCACTGGGGAAACAGCAGTATAGGCCCTAAGATCCACAAGCTCAGGAAATCAGGCCTGTGAAGTGAAGAGCTGTGGTGTTTAGCTCGCTCCGCATTTGCTCCATAAATTCAGCTCAGCATGAATTGAGAGGTATGTAAGGAGCAAACTAAAAACAATTTGCAACCTTTTACTGAGTTCCTTCGTTTACCCTCTAATGTTGAGGTGGCTGATGGAAGTAAGAGAACAACGCCAGGCACAAGGGCAAGAAGGCTTCTGCGCACCTGGGGGAAGTCCCAGTCATGCAGACAAATATGATTTCTTAACATTACCACCACTGTAAATGAGCTAACTCATATTCCTCCTCCACCTCCATCCCAAAGGGAGGAACAGGACTGAACTGTGCATGTCCACTGTTTTCATGCTGCTGTAGAATACTAATGGTGTGAGGACAGAGAGCAGGCATAAGCTGAGATTCTGTCTGCTGGCAGTAAAACTGAAGGAAGCAAGCAGCTTACCAGTTGCCTTCCCTTAGTAGTTATGCAAGGATGTGAAATTGAGGTTCCTTAGTTCTTCCTCATAGATTCTCTTACAAATAGAAAAGAGCCATGGAATCTGCATTGCAGCACAGAGTGTTGAGAAGTTGGCAGAGACTCTCTACCAGTTGTCTGCCGCCTCCCCCCAGTAAAGATGCCCTGTAAAGGCCCCTTAGCGCAATGGTAAGGAACAGTTACCGTGAACCTTGAAAGGCTTTTATAGCAATTTCCGTGCCTCCCTCCCCCAACACAGAAGCATTAAGTTGAGCAATTACCCCTTAATACTGCTGATTTTTAATATAGAGCTTTGTGGACAGATAGTGTTTCGCCAAGTATTACAAGTCTGGACACTTATTTAAAAATTCTTGAAGGAATTATTCCCTAACATCTGCAGGCATTCTGCAGTATCTCAGAGGTAAAGCAGTTCATCTGTTCTTCCATCTCCAAGGATTGACTACTACAGTGTATTTCAATTGGGGCTGTCCTTGAATGCGTAGAAGTTGCAGCTGTTGTATAGAATGTTGCCTCATTCTGTTATGGGAATGCAGAAAAGGTATCATGAGACTTTGAATGATACCGAGTTGTTGTTGGTTGTCTAGCCCAGTTTAAGGTGCTATAAAGCCATAAATACCTTGGCAGAGTAGACCTGGGATATCCTTTTTCCCCTGTTCAGACTCTCTTAAGATCTGCAAGGGGCAGGCCCCACAAGAATTTCTCCTGTAAATGCTTTTTATAATCATTTAAAAACATTTTTTAAAGGTGTGCACTCCTTTAAGCAGAGTGGGTTGCTGTAGTTGACTAATGCACTGAGCAAAGGGTTGGAGTAGGTGACCTCTAGAATCCCTTCTAACTTTGTGTCAAGAAACTGGTCTCCTTTGAGAGAGTTCTTCTGCCTAAGTGTTCGCTTTCTTGACTCTAGAAGTCGTCACCCCCACCTGCCGGCTGTTATCAGAATTGTTGCTTAGGCTGGCAGAAGTAATTAACTTGCAGCAGCTGAGAACTGTCATCTAAAGTGGTTGACAGCTTGCAGTTTAGAGATCTGCCCCGGTAACAGCTTTCTATTGGCTAAATGGTTAATAGGCTAGCATAAGAACATCTATGTAGAATAGACAGATTGAGAAGAATAAGAGGGAGAAGAGTAGCTGAGTCATAATCCTCAAAATTCTTGCTTTCCTTTCTGCACTGAGAATTTCAGCCCCGCGGGGGGGGGGGAATTGCCCCACAAGCCACAAAATCCTGGCTACGGGCCTGGTAAGGGGTATTCCTCAGACCTCACATTCCTCCTTCATGCACATATTTGGCCACAGAACAGAGCGAGGTCTCCCTGGCCCCTGTTGTTAAGCAGGGCTTTCTTGGTGAGAGCATGCAAGTCATTTTTTTATCCTTTCTTTTTTCAGAAGTTTCTTTGATTCTTAAAGAGTGGGATAAATATTATGGTAATTACTTCAGGGCTGACGAATTAGGGACAGGCATCAAAGATGATAAAGGGGCACTTAAATGGCTCTTGTGTTGGAGAGCAGAAGGTACCCTGCTTGCAAGTAGAAAGTGCCGAGTGAAGAGACGGCCTCCTAAAATGAGATCTAGCACTTCAGTAAGCAAACTCAAAAGCCAAATAATTCTGTTTGCATTTGGTAGAGTTGTTTACTCAGATTTTTAATGAAAGAGTCGGCCATTAAAATCCAAGTGCCTCTTATTTTTTCTTCCATCTGAAGTTGAAAGCCCACATCGTTAAAGTGGTAGAGAGGATCCACATCAAAACAAAATTAAACATTGGAAATATGAAGCCCGAGAATATTCTGCAGTTGACGTGTGCTTTAAATTAAGCAAGTACATAATAAAAATACAAGGTACGATGAAATACCTGAAGCTGTCTTCCTAGATTAACTACGGAGCAGCTGATGACCAGTCTTTCAGTGCTTCCTTCTTTCTCGTACACTGAAATATGGCTCTGGGTAAAAAAAGATGGCTGCAAGATTAATGTCACTTGCTGGGACATAACAACATTACTTTCTTTCTGGAATGTGGACTGTCCGGCATTTTCATCAGGGACTCTGAGGGTTGCTTTTTGTGTTTTCAGCATGAGATTTGTTTTCCTAATGTTGCCCCCCTCCCATATAGAGAGTGATCTAGATCCCTCCCATACATCCAGTCTAGATACAGACCTTTTGAGAGACACATTTTTTTTTTCCATAGAATGATCAGAGTGTCAGCTAAAAACAAAGCATAATGTATTTTACTCCAGGTTTCAACAGCACTAAGCTCTTTTGCCAAAACACTCGCTTCATATCTGTTTGTGCCCCTGCCACAAATGTACGGGTATCACTGCACAGCCGTGAAAAGGGTTTGCCCAAGACTGGAGCGGGACAGACGTGCTTGTCACCAGTGGCTAGTCTACAGGAAGGGGCACTGGCTGGAAAAAAGGAAACTGGTTTCCTGCCGCCTACTCCTCTTCTTTCACCCTGTGACCACTGCCCCCCAATACATCAGCAGTGAAGCAAGGTGGCTGGTCTGAATGGGAAGGGTAGAGACGTCAGGCTGTAGTGAAGACTTTTTTTGTTTTGTTTGGCACTTCCCCGGTTAACTGTTACTGGCCCACTTCCCTGGTGGTGGTGGTGGTGATGTGTGTCTGTACGTTTTGTGGAATTGTTTACATATTTTATGTACACTTCAATTTTAAATAGTCCTTTAATGTCTTGATGCTTTAGTGCTCACCACCTTGGGGACTCTGGGTGCAAAGGCAGTATAGAAAGCAGAGCAGAAGCCCGCAGTCACCAGGCTCACCCCCCCAGGGTCACCAGAGCCCTTAGAATGCTGGAGAAGGTGGGCCCGAAGAGAGGTGCAGGACTGGCACCGTAGCATGTGGCTGACAGCTCAGCGCCGCTCAACCTCTGCCTTTGAGCTTGAGTCACCACAGGATCAGGGCTGATTGCCCCAAAAGGGCTGCTTTGGCCACCGATGAGCTGCACCTGTCACTGGATGACACAGCAGGTTGATGTGTTGCACCTGTCCCTGAATGATTCAGCAGGGTTTCCTGATAAAAGCAGCTAGAGGAGGGCACTGTGCCTTAAAGCTTGCTGGGTGATCTTGGGCCAGTCACAGACTCTCATCCAAACCTACCTGCTATGATGATGATAAAAGGAGAGGAGAGAACAATTTAAGCCACTTTGGATCCCCTTTGATAGAAAGATGAGCTATAAGTGAAGTAAATAAGTAGGATCATAAATGTAGATGTGGGCAGGACACCCCAGAACGTCTTCCTGGTCAGCTGTTAGTTTCCGAATTGCTGCTTCTGGATTAATGCTGCTTCTGAATTCTGAACCAGGGGTTCATTCTCTCCTTAAGTAGGAGAGGTAACGTTGACCTTATTTGTTTTCTCATATTTCTCTGAGGGAGATGGAATTTGTAAAGTGGATTCCGTTAGTGATGATTATGGTCGTATCAGTCTTTATTGGCTCGGCTTGACTTCGGTAACGTTCTTTCTCTTGCAAGCATTTTGATTGTAACTGGAAGATAAGAACTGACATGACTGAGAGCTAGCTGCATGTTTTTTCTGAACCTACGAAAAGCAAGATAGAGCACTGTAGTGGATCCAGCCACTCTGCTTGACACATTGGGACGCATTCCTCCAATTTAGGTGGTTGTTCTGGAAGAGCCAGTTGAGTTGGAGAAAGGCTTCATACTTTGCTGAGCGGAGTGGTGGATCTACCCACTGCTAATCACCCCAGAGACAACTGTCTGTCAATTATCTCTGTCATTGTCTTCTGCCAGTCGTGGATGTGTTGTCTGGTGTTCACTCAATGATCCCTCCGTCCTACCTTACATTTTAATTTGCTCTCTTGTTTTTTATATATGTATTTTTAGCTCTGTTTTTTAATTGATTTTATGGTATATTTTATTAGAGTTGTTCTAAAATTGTTAGCCACCTTTTGGGGGCTCTGATTGGGCAGAAAAGCCGGCTATCAATACTGTAATTAAATCAGAGATGACTGCTTTAATAAAACAATACACAGAGACTGTCTTCTTCTTCTTTTTTTAGAGTTTCTAAACTGATTGTACTACAGCTTCAGCTGTAATTCCAAGCAAAGCAGTTGCTGTATTTTACTTGGCTGAATTTCTGTCAGCTTCCCAACTCTCAAAGTGGTTATAATAGACCACAATGAGAATAAAACGTATAATTGCTTAAACTCTTGCCTGTGCTTGAAAAGTTAAATGGTGTTCTGAGATTTCTCTTAAGTGCTGTGGTCCTGTTCTAGCCTTTTCCACAGTAAAAGACCAGAATGTTCCAGAGCTGGCTTGAGGAAACCCAAAAATCCCCTTTGGGTTATTGGTTGACAAATGTGTGGATGCTGTACAAGGCTTTACAGATTACTATGTTTTCTCCAAATCTAAAGTCCAGTTTTGTTTAGTTGAAAGTTTGAATTGTGTTCTGATTTTGCTTTTTTAGACTCCTGAAGAACTGGATGACTCGGACTTTGAGACAGAAGACTTTGATGTTCGAAGCAGAACAAGCGTTCAGACTGAAGATGATCAACTTATTGCTGGCCAAAGTGCAAGAGTAAGAAAAACAATTCTGATCACTGCTTATCAAATTAATTTAACCCGTCTAAAATGTTGGACTCCTACACAAAATTCATAGGAAAACCAGCAGACTACTTTTTATTTTAAAAAGCAGAAGAGTCTGTACGCAGGATTATTAAAATATAGATGTCTACCCATTTATCTACTTCTAAAACCTGGAGAAACCACAGTCCTATATTTACTATACCTTTCGTACTCTCACCCCAGTCTGAAACATTGAGTCCTCATCTGCTTATAGACACTGCTTTCAACCCTGGCTTGAAAGAAGGGACATACTTTCTTACCATATATTGGGCTTCCTTTTCTAGTCTCCATTTCCTTCTCTATTGTTTTTTTAAAAAAAGAACCAAAACAGAAGCTGCATCATAAGTACGCTCTTAGATAATAGCATGACTTGTGGAGCAGATGTCCTACTGCTCAGCTTCAGTCATTTCCTCTCTCCCATCACCACCTTTATAGTCACACCAGTCCCTCTCTAGCGGTAAGATTGTTTGACCAACCGAGGATGGCACTTACAGCCTCACCCATCCATTTCGGCTACTCCCGGAAGTATAAGATCTTTGCTTGAATCCCCTGTGTGTTGTTATTTACAGACCAACATGATACACACTGACCTATGCAGGATGTATTCTTGTTTTAAAATGTTGGGTTCCCTGAATGATAGGTGGCTTTATACAATAAACAAATGTTTAAACTTGTCCACTTCATTTATACACCTGAAGGGTTGCATGATAACTCTTCTGTGAACTCCGTAGCAATTCGAAATAGTGCATAATTTGCTGTGAAAGCTGCTGTTCTTTACAGTAGAGACGAGGGAAAGGAAGCCAATCTTTGGGGGGATTTGTGGCAATTTTTCTCAGTGCACTGCTTCAGAAATCAGCCTTTTTTACCAATGGCTTTATTTCTCAGTAGTATTTACTTACAGTGTTACCACATGATTCACGTAGTCACAAGCTTTAGATCAAAGTGGGATGAAAATGGCCAGCCCTTGAGGTATAATTTAATCCTGCCTCCATGAATAAGATTGTCTGGTGCAAAGTACACCTTGAAAAGAATCCCTGCTGATGAATGGCTGGAATTACATCGAACAACTCTTCATTCCAGGCTATCATGGCTCAGCTCCCTCAAGAGCAGAAAGCAAAAATTGCCGAACAAGTAGCCAGTTTCCAGGAAGAAAAGAGTAAATTAGACGCAGAGGTGTCCAAATGGGATGACAGTGGTAATGACATCATTGTTCTGGCAAAACAAATGTGCATGATTATGATGGAAATGACAGACTTCACCAGGTAAGGACCCTTCGTGGGCCACACTCTTTAAATGAGAATTTCAGGGGTAACTTGTCCAATGCGGTTGTTGTAGACGACACTGGTCCCTACTGGGTGCTGTTGACAGATGCTGATTAGTATTATTTTTAACAGCCACTCAGTCTCATCAGGAACTGTCTGCCTTGCATGCGCATTAGTGGAATAGACAACCTAACTATAAAGTGATTTGAAATCCCACCATTTTCTAAAGATTAGAGCGTGACCGCCGGAATCTGTTAATCGCAGTTTACGTGCAACCTCCAAGAAACTGGTGGGAAACTGTGCACAGTTGCTGTAGTTTGTCTGTAGTCTCATTCTGTGCTAAACTTTATTTTTTTACAAATGGAACAAAATAGAAAAGCCTGCAAGGTTTTTAATGCTCTCAGAAATTTAAATACAAAGTGCTTTTTGGTGCATGTTGCAATGATTTAATCAGTCTCATTCAAGGTGATCTATCTGAATTTTGGATTTTTATAGGTTAGTGGCAGAGTTGCCATTTTAAGTGTGATTAAGGACTTGGGTATGCGCAGGTGGATTCCCTTCCCCTCAAGTCCCCACTCTGGAAAACTCCTTTTAAGTTTCAGAAGTGGGGTGTCGTGTCACTGGGTGGAGGTCGGGCTGGAGACTTGCCATTGAAGAAATACACACCTTGAGCATGCAGAATGAGTTAATCAGAGGTGTTGAACTCACTGAAAATGTGTTATTTAAAGTTTTTAAAAATCTTTAATTGTGTTTGTGTCTTTTATAAAGTTTATATCTCTGCTACCTGGCATTACCTTTTATGACACACATGGCCCGGCCCAACAAGGTCTCATTTATGCCAGATCCAGCCCTCATAACAAATGAGCTCGACACCGCTGAAAGTGGTTCTTTGCCAATATGTAGAATAGATACAATGTGCAATTCAGCAGCAAGGGTAGGGACTGGGACCCAGTGTGCTGGGGAAGGAAATACCCATATAGTGGCTGTCATTTTTCTCTCCTGAGACTTAAAACTGGGAGGGGGGGCAGCATGGGGAGAGTTAACCACCCCCCATGTTGAGGCTTTAACCCATATTCTTTTCCCCTTCTCCTCCCCTCCCCCCAACCAAGCAGCTGCTTCTTGCTGCTAAATTATGTGTTTGGGGATCCAGATATAAATTCTTAGTGTTGTGTGTGTAACTTGGCTTCTGCACAAACTGGATGTGACTGCTACTCAACAGGAAAATAGTTTGCAAGGAAAAATACCTCTAGTTTGTGGTTTAGATGACTAACGCAGTTTTCTTTTTGCAGAGGTAAAGGGCCGTTAAAGAATACATCTGATGTTATTAGTGCAGCAAAAAAAATTGCAGAAGCTGGGTCAAGAATGGACAAGCTGGGACGGACAATTGCTGATCATGTAAGTTGTGATAGATTTTTACAAGTCTTCAGTGTAGCTATACTGAAGATTTCCTAAGAGGTTTCGAGTAATTTTATGTTATCTAATTTCGGGAGCCAGGATTGTCGTTCTTAGATTCTGGAAGTAGAATATAGCCCCAAATATCCATGACTGGCTAGAGAAAATCAAGTTTACTTGATTCTTTATGGGTTCCCTTAATTGATTGGATGTCACAGTAATGGCATGTTATTAATCAGTGCTTGTAGTGCTGAATATGTTTATTTATTAGGTTTATATACCACCCTCCCCAGATGGGCTTAGGACAGTGTACAACAGTTAAATAATACAATTAAAACAGTATTAAAATAACAATTTACACATTAAATATCATAAAATATAAAATAAGGCAACAAGACAAGGGGGTGCAAGAAAAACTTTATCCCTAATAAAAGTCACCTCCTGAGCTGATCCGTTACTCCACAGCTTTCCTCCTGCAATCAGAAAGCCATCCCAAACAATTCTCTTTTGCCTGTTTTGCAAAATGACAGGAGCTTGGGGGGGGAGGCCGTCCAAATACCACAGGGTTGGAGCTCCCGCAGAGAATGTGCATGAGTGGGCAGTTGCTGGTTTTCCCTGTTAGCTGGACAGCAGCACCTGTGTGTCAGGTTATCAATCCGTGTTATCAGGTTCTCTGAATTCCCAGCCTTGTTTGTTTGTTTCATGTTTGTTTCATGATGTGAGTGAGAGGTTAATTTTTTGATTCTTTAATTCTAAAACATGGACAAGCTAGGGTGGACAGTTGCTGATCACTCAAGTCGTAATGGATTTTTACAAGCCTTCAGTAGAGCTGTCACTTTAGGTCATTGGCTCACAGAACAGAATTCTGTAGCTAGCCACTGTTTGTATGGCATCTTCCTAACAAACATTCCTTATTCTTCTCAATATGCTTTGTTATATATACTCAGATGTGTTGCCTACTTTTGCTCTGGATTTTCATACGGCTCAGTTTTTGCTGCAGATGTTGCCATTTCAGAAGGCAGAAGCATTCACGGAGTCACTCAGTTTCACATTACCATTTTTCTCACCGGTTTACAGATACTGTTCCCAGTTCGTAGCAGCCTGGGTACCCCAGGGGGAAAAAAAAGAGAAAAACTGTATGTGCTGTGAAGTCCTGCACTGGCAGACTTCCCAGTCGCTTAGTAGACCAAGCTTGGCACAGGCTGACTGGTGGGAAGCAGTTCTGTGGTGCTAAACTGTATATGCCTTTGATACACAGCAGAATTAGACACTGACCCTTCCGTCCCACTAGCAGGGCTGTCATCATTTGAATCTGTTGGCTACCTGTGACAAGAGTGAAAGGGGCCAGTGTGGTGTGGTGGTTAGAGTGCCAGACTAGGGTCTGAGAGGCCCAAGTTCAAAACCCCACTTTGCCATCAAAGCTTGCTGGGTGACCTTAGCCTGTCTCGCACTGTTGTCCTAACCTGCCTCACAGGGTGTTTGTGAGGATGAGACGGAGGAACGATGTGAACCACTTTGGGTCCTCACCAATGTTCCCTCTAAGCCGCAGAGCCTTGTGAGCAAAAATGTTACTTTGTGAGCTACTGGCATTAAAGTTGTGAGCAGGCGATTTGACTACTGCATAAATTAGTTTGCTCTGGAGCCACCCTTCGTGAGCTAAGGCAAAAATCTGTGAGCTGGAGGCTAAAAACCTGTGAGCTAGCTTACACTAACTCAGCTTAGAGGGAACACTGGTCCTCACTGAGGAGAAAAGGGGGGTATAAATGAAGACTAAAATAAACCTTTTCATTTGCAGTTTAAAGGCACCTTCTCAGCAGTTGGGTGAATATTTCACCCTTTCTGACAATGTAATTATTTTTCTGTTTTTCTTCCTTCATTTCACAGCACGTGCATGCATTCCCCAGAAGTGAAGGCATACGTATTTTGTAGTGTAACTAGATAAGTTGGAACAGGAAAATCTACCCATCTATGCAGCTAGTTCTCTGCAGTTAAAAGCTCCTGAAGTGGGTTCAGTGGGTTCCATTGATTTTTTATACTCAATGAAATTTTTATTAAAGCCTCCTTGCCCCATCTTAAAAGAACAATGAGCCACAATCAGCATGCAGTATAATTTCCTCATATTGATGATTTGGGTAATCACTAGTGCATTATAGATTAGGGGTTTTTAAAGGTTTTTGTTAAACAGTGTGAAACTCTGTTTCAGTGCAAATCCTTCTCTTAAAACGAGGTAGAAGATTGCTCCAAAGGGGAAGCTATTCGGGTTTTGTTTTTTCAAAATGCTCTGAAGCAACTTGGCCACATGGAACCTAGTAATGCACAACATTGATCAGTTACCCCTCTGGCTTCCAACTGACACACTCTGGGAAGAGTTGAAGGCTTTACCTGCAAGGTCATAAGAGATTTGCTCTGGGATCCCTTAAGGAGAGCTTGCAGATCTTTGGTTTTTTCCATTGAATATCTCTTACAGTATCATCTCGATGTATTGTCACAGCCCTGCATCAGGGACCAAAAGCTTCTGACAACATTGATTCCACTACTGATCAGTCCTATCATTTTTATCCTACCCTTTTCCCAAGGAGCTCAGGGCACCTTACACTGTTACCCCAACCTCTGTTTTATCCTCACAACAAACCTGTGAGTTAGGTTAGGCTATTTCCCTAATCCCTAAGAAAACCAGGCTAAATATTTACTTAATAATTCTACAGCAAGAACTTCTTAGTGCAAACATTGACTAACAAGGAGCTGTGACTTTTACCTGTTTCTGCCTCATGCAAACAGGTCAAAGGTGACCATCAGCCATTTTCATTGTTCAGCGGTTAGGTTGCTGTGGCTTTTATGGTTTTGCTGCTATTTACTGTTCTGTTTTTGTTCTTAGTTCTTCTGCTGCACTGCAGCTCTCATTAGATTTAGCTGCCATGTTATGCAGTCAGTTTTACTATGGCATTTTATTTTACATTTGTAAGCCATCTCAATCTTAGCACAGGGTAGATTTTTTTTAAATGCACTTTTATCAGTGACCAGGATGGGTGTTTCAATGCCTTTGAGACCTGTCAGCTAGGGATGGCCACAAACCAATAAACAAACCCTGGTTGAAGCACAAGCCGGCTGGTTTCTGGTTCATGAAGCAGGGGTTGAGGAGAATATGTCTCCCACGATCCACCACACAAATTTCCAGGTTTGTGGGAGGGTTCGTGCGGGCCCCAAAGGCATTTATTTACCTTTGGAGCTTACTTCCGGGTCTGGCAGCCTGACCAGAAGTGAGCACTGAGGTTGTTTAAATGCTGTCAGAGCCCACCACTGACCCGTGGCCCAACCCGAGTGAGCTCCGAAGGCATTTAAATCCCCTTGGAGCTTACCTCTGGGTCAGGCTGGCCCAACTGAGCTCCGAGAGTGTGCTCCGAAGGCCTTTATAGGCCTTTGGAGCTCAGTTGAGTCGGGCGGGCGGACTCATTGGAGCTCACTCTGGGGTCTCAGTCAAGTTGGGCCGACCTGGAGGTGGGTTCCGAAAGCATTTAAATGCCTTTGGGGTTCACTTCCAGGTGGGGCTTTGGCCTTACGAACTTCCTGAAGCACAAACTGGTTCGTACAATGGAGAAGTTCGGGGTTCGGGAAAACAACGAACTCCATTTTTCCGGTTCATGCCGACCCCTACTACCAACTCTTACAATTCCCTCTTGGCCTCTTGCAGTTTCTTCAGCTTCTGACCTCTTTCCTTATCTTGCCTATCAGTGCCGTTGGCTGATCAGCCCTGATGTCACAAGGGGCCTGAGCAGGCATAGTTTCGTAGACTGAGGGTGGACAGTTATATGAATGATTATTTATTTAAAGATGTAATCTCTCCATACTGACACGTCTTGAATGACAGCTTGTGCTGGGAGAAGTTAGGTGATGGGCTTTAAATCATGTGGATGCCCTGTAAACAATGGAATCCAGTGCCGTGTTGGAGAGTACTGTGGAAGATTTTGCTTAGACTTATTTCTGTCTAGTGAGATTTGGCCATCAGGTAATCGTGTTTCAAGCTTCTCAGAATGAAACACTTTTTTCCCCTCTCTCTCTTCAGTGTCCAGATTCTGCTTGCAAACAGGACCTGCTAGCTTACCTACAGCGTATTGCTTTGTATTGCCATCAGCTGAACATTTGCAGCAAAGTGAAGGCAGAAGTGCAGAACCTCGGTGGAGAACTGGTTGTGTCCGGGGTACGTAAGATATTATAACTATTCTGCTTTGCTTGTGCAAACTGCTAGATGTAGAAACAAATTTGATTCTTGTTAAACTTGGTAGAATTATAAACTTAACCGTATGTGTTCTATATTGTGGAAATCAACCTGGGCAATTCTCCCTTTGACTAGTCCCAGGGTATCTTCAAATATATTGTTTTCTTTTGTGCTTGTGGCGGGGCGGGGATTATAAATGTTTTCTCATGCTGACTCTTCACAATTGAGTTCTCTCAGCCCCACCCACCTCACAGGGTGTCTGTTGTGGGGAGGGGAAGGGAAAGGAGTTTGTAAAACGCTCTGAGACTCCAAGTGAAGGGCGGGGTATAAATCCAATCTCCTCCTCCTCCTGTCATGTTAGGCTATCAGTTATGGCATTTTATCTTACATTTGTAAGCTACCTCAATCTTGGCACGGGATAGTACTTCCTTTTATGTGTTCTAAGCCAACTGCTCATCAATTTCATTGAGTCCCCATGAGTTCTTGTATTGTGAGAAAGGGAGAAAAGTACTTCTTTCCCCACCTTCTCCATCCCATGCATCATTTTGTAAACGTCATGTCACCCCGCAATTGTTTCTCCAAGCTAAAGAGCCCTAACCTCTTTAACCTTTCTTCATAGGGAATGTGTTCCATCCCCTTAATCATTTTAGTTGCCTGTTTCTGCACCTTTTCCAATGCTATAATATCTTTTTTTGAGGTGCAGTGACCAGAACGGTATGCAGTATTCCAAATGAGGCCGCACCATAGATTTATACAAGGGCATTATGACACTGGCTGATTTGTTTCCAATCTCCTCCTTAATAATCCCCAGCACAACATTTGCCTTTTATATTGTAGTCGCACACTTGAGTTGACATCTTCAGTGAGTTATGTATCAGATCTCTCTCCTGGTCAGTTATCATCAATGTATATTTATAATTAGAATTTTTGGCTTCAGTGTGCATTGCTTTGCACCTGCCCACATTGAACCTCATTTGCCACATTGATGCCCATTCGTCCAACCTCAACAGATCCCTCTGGAGTCCCTCACAGTCCTCCCTGATGCTCACCACCCTGAACAACTTAGTGTCATCCGCAGACTTAGCCTCTTCACTGCTTATTCCCAATTCCAAATCATTAATGAACAAGTTAAAAAGCACTGGACCTAGTACTGAGCCCTGCAGTACTCCGCTGTCTGCCACCTTCCACTATGAAAACTGCCCATTTATACTCACTCTCTGTATCCTGTTAATTAACCAGTTTTTAATCCACAAGAGGACTTGTCCTCTTATACCATAACTGCTGATTTTACTTAGGAGCCTTTGATGAGGAACTTCATCAAAAGCTTTCTGGGACAACATCTACTAGGTCACCCTTGTCCACATGTTTGTGCACCCCCTCAAACTACTCTAAAAGGTTAGTGAGACAAGATCTTCCGCTACAGAATCCCTGCTGATTCTTCTTCAGTAGCTTTTGTTCATCAGTGTGCCTACTAATTCTGTCTTTGGTAGCAGATTCCACCAACTTGCCCGGTATCATTGTTAGACTGACTGGCCTGTCATTTCCCAGATTTCCTTTGGAACCTTTTTAAAAGATGGGGGTTATATTAGCTATCTTCCAGTCCTTGAGAATGGAGGCACATTTTAGTGATACACTGCAATACTGTTGCCAAGAGATCCACAAGTTCACATTTGAGTTCTTTCAGAACTCTTGGCTGTATGCCATCTGGATCTGGTGATTTGTCAGTTTTTAAGTTGTGCACCAGTCATAGGACCTCCGCTCGCATCACTTCAATCCGACTCAGGTCTTTTGGCACCCCTCTTGAAATCAGCAGTTCTGGAGTGGGCAAGCACCTACCATCTCCCACAATGAAGGCAATGAACTGCCATTTCCATATCATCCTTTATCATTCTACCATTTCAAGATCACTTTCTCAAATTTTGTACCTCCTTTGCTTCTGAGGATCCATATTGTGTGCGGGGGGGAAGAGGGGGCATATTGGGGGGGGTGGTAAGTGGAATAATAACGGCAAACAGAAGCAAAACTATGTCAGACAACAGTGCTGGAAAAGTCCCTGATAAGCTAAGTACATTTCATGTCGCTTCTAGCATACCTTGTACTTCCAGCTGGAACAGCAAACATGAATGAAGATATAAAGTGCCATATAATGTGTGTTGCTGGGCCTCTTTGGCAGGGCATTGGGTAAAGACAGTTGAGAGCCTGACAGCAATACTAGCTTCTTCCTTGGGTATGAACTTTTGTGAGTTCAGATACTGAAGAAGTGAGCAGTGACTCATGGAAGCTCATACCCTGCCACAAATTTTGTTAGTCCTTAAGGTGCTACTTTATGTGGTCTTCTGCCATAGATTTCTGTCTGCAGCCTTGAATCATCTCTGGATGCCTCTTTGTCTACGGAGGCCCAGGTTGCCGCAGTTGCCAGATCTGCATTCTTCCATCTTAGGCAGATCAGGCTACTGAAGCCATATTTCTCCCCACCACCACCACCGCCAAGACCTAGCTACAGTGATCCATGCAGTGGTCACCTCCAGGCTTGATTACTGCAATTCGCTCTACGCACACTTACCCCTGAGACTGATCCGGAAATTACAGCTGGTACAAAATGCGGCCACCCATCTACCGGCCATATCCATCAGTATTAATGGGTCAGAATTTTCACCAGCAGCTATAACTACTGGTTTTAAATGTTTATGATGTAATGTTTTATTGTGCTTTAAACCTTACAGTATTATTTAAGATGATGTGACACGCCCTGAGCCCGATCACGGGATGGGCGGGATACAAATACAGTAAATAAATAAATAGATCCATATGGGGGGGACAAAACAGGCCACGGAAAGTTTTGAGGCCCTACCCCCATCCTCACCCCTTGAGTGAGCAGCCACCTTACTTGGTTATACCAGCTGCCTTCCCTGGTCATTTGCTATGTAGAAATGTAGCTTGCAAGTTTTGGACTTTAGCAACCAAGATCTGGCACAAAGAACGTGGATCTGAGCCGTTGTCTTTCTGTGTATCTTGCACTTTTTTGTGGGGGGGAAATTGCAATGCAATTTCACTGCATTGTAAAGAGCTCTGAATGGAGGCATGAATTTCCTGCCCTAATGTGTAGAGACCTCGTCCAGATAGAATAGGATAGCAGTGGATCCTTTCTTATCGCCTTGCAAAGTAATATATGTTACAACCTGTCTGTGCTGTAGCAACTGCAGAAAGGCTGGAACAGCCTGTGTGTCTTCATTTTGGGTTTCTTGGTTTCCAGGATGCTGCCTCCGTTTCAGGTCATTAAGAGCTCACACGTCCTGACATCCCGCTGAGCCCTCGTTCGCTCTCTCTGCCTTTGCCATCGACTCCCTTTCTGTCCAGGTTTTGTAAATACTTCTAACACTGGTCTTCCTGCACATTCATCAGTTGGGCTTTTTCCTCCAATTCTTCATATTGGCTAGACTAAGAGCGTTCCAGTGGAGGGGGGAAAATGTAGATGCCGCCTATTACCATCAGGTGCAAGTGTAGTAAATTGGATCTGAACCTCAAACTGCTGAGTATTAAGGTGGCCCCCACCTTGTAGAATTTTAGCATCACAGAATCACAGAGTTGGAAGGGGCCATACAGGCCATCTAGTCTAACCCCCCACTCAGTGCAGGATCAGCCTAGAGCCTCCCTGACAAGAGTTTGTCCAACCTCTGCTCAAAGACTGCCAGGGAATGTGGAATGGTCTGCCTGAGGAGGTCAGGAAGGCTCGCACACTCCTGGCTCTCCATACACTATGCAAAACTGAACTATTCAAGAGGACTTTTCTATGCAGGCAACAGGGTAGCCCTGTACGAAATGATTCACAACGTTACTTGGGCAAATCATTAGGGACTGTGGTCTGTTCTGCTGTGTAGAGCTTGCTATATAAGTTGGATCCTACTGTATAATTTTGCATCATTGTGCTTTCCTTTGTTTCTGTTTTTTAAACTTCTGGTTGGATCTACAACCCAAATCCTATACCATTTTTAATTGAATGTCCCATCCTGTTGATTGTATTGACTTACCCTGCGTAACCCGCCTTGAGTCCCAGCAAGAAAGGTAGAGACTATAAATAACATTCATAGAAATACACGGAGAAATACTATTTTGCCACTCTTGCAGCTGCTGTAAGCCTCTTCCATGGACAGGTTTTTGTATAAGCTGTATTATGGGCACCACCTAAAACGAAGCACTCTTCCGTTTATCTTGTCTTAGGTGGATAGTGCCATGTCGTTGATTCAAGCAGCAAAGAACCTGATGAATGCTGTGGTACAAACGGTGAAGGCTTCCTATGTGGCGTCCACAAAGTACCAGAAGTCCCAAGGGATGGCATCCCTGAACCTTCCAGCAGTGTCTTGGAAGATGAAGGCGCCTGAGAAGAAGCCGCTAGTCAAGCGCGAGAAGCAAGACGAAACACAGACCAAAATCAAGCGGGCCTCTCAGAAGAAGCACGTGAACCCGGTCCAGGCACTCAGTGAATTCAAAGCAATGGAGAGCATTTAAACAGAGGACTCTGGCTTGCTCCTCTCTGAGTTTCTTCCAATATTCTATGCGTTACGTTAACATGAATTTACTTAAATATTTTGATAAAATCATTTAGGGTAAAACGGGGAGGGTAAATCAGATCTGTGAAGCATGACAGTACAGCTTTTAAGTCCACAGACATGTTAATTTTAGTATGAAGATGCAGTTTAAATCTGTCACTTTTTTCTAGCTGACTTTTAAAGTAACAAATCCTGCTTTAAATTTTACCGTGTAACCAAAGATGAGTTTACGGCACCGTTAAATAATTTGCGTAGCTGGATCATGTCATTCCTTTCAAAGGAAGCCTAGTAAGGCAAATCTTCTCAACTTGAAAATAAATGGAACACATGGAGGGGGGGGTTATTCAAGTATATTACGTGCTTTGGGGTGGGTAGAGTGGTAAGCTTTTGTATGTCAAAACGACCATCAAAATGGAAAAACACTAGTTGCTGTTTACAACACTAAGTCGGCTGTAGAAAGAACGATTTGACAAAGTAATATACTGTAGCATTCCTGTTTTTAATTTAAGCAATCTTGCCTTCGTTGTTTGAAACTGAACACACTGATGCATTTGTCTGAACGGCTGGATTCCAGGTTACCTCCCAAGGGTGTGCAAATTAGAGCTATGTAGCCGAGAGAGGCCGGCCATGTGCCTGCTGCTCTTGCACTTCGAACGTTCCTCGGGCTTTACCGGTCAGCCACTCTGTAAGGGTTCCTGTGGGTGCCCGTGGGAAGGCAGCACAAAAGAGGGTGGGATGAGTGGTGCACCATGAAGGGAGCTGATTACTGCTCTCGAACCTGCGAAAATTTTAATGCTCGGTTAGACTCCTGGTGTACTTGGGCCACAGTAAGCGCTGCTTGTGCCAGCCAGTGTGTTTGTGCTGGAAGTGGCTGCAGGTTTCCCGCCCTCTGCATTCAAATGCAAATTCATCATTGTGTTCTTCTGAAAAAAATCTGCTTTGTATCCTGCCTTAGGTTTTACAAGAATCTTAGCAAATAGTGTTTATTCAGACTGCAATTTAGGCAACATCATTTGTGATAACTGGAGCTTCGCGGCATAATTTTGCTGTTTTAAATTTTATGGATTTCTGTTTTTATACCTTTTCTTTTCCCAATAAAGTCCAATATAAGATCTAGTTGCCACAGGTCAGAGCCTTTATTACGATTCACAAAGTATTCTGAATTCCAAAAAGCACTCCAGCTGTATCAGCTGAGTGCCCTAGCAGGCCGGTCGTTGGTAATTGATGCATGATTCACTTGCTTGGTTTAGTTACAATGCACTAAATAGAAGACCTGCTGTAATAAATGAATCTGCTCTTCAAATGGACTTGGAATGGCTGGCTGGGGGGAAAGGCAGTCAGGAGTTAATCAGCTGCATTCTTGGCAACTGACAGGAATGTTTGCTTCGAGGTTTAGTTGTTTGGGTCTGTTCTGCGGCTCAAGAATGTGATGTTCCAAATGAAAAATGGTAACAGACCAAAGTTTTCCAACTTTCTGTGAACTGATGTTGAATGAGTCACCTTCAGGTAGACTAAATATTTTGGGACATCAGATATCCACCCTTCTGCCTGGTGTCACTCTGAGCTTGCCAGAGGTCTCTGTGCGCAGAACGTTTGCATTAGCTCTTTTTGCTGTTTTCTGATAGTCCTCTGGATGAAGTCTGGTTCAGTGGACACCCAAAGAAATAATTAGTCACGTTAGTAGGGGAGGTTCCATGTCCCAGAAAATGGGGGGGAGGCCATCTCCTCTTGTCCTGTTTAATGCACGTATGAAGCCAAGGACCAAAAATCGCATGGATGTAAAGAAGCTTGATGCCCCACAGCACATGAATGCCACAGTAAAGTCCAACTGCTTAGTGGCCGTATAGTGAATCAGATGAACAGACTCGCAAATGGTTTGTGCCGGGGAGGGGGAGGGGTGCTGGTCAATTTTTTTCTTATGTTGTCTATATGGGCATGTATGTAAGAGTGCCTGCTAAGGGCATTTGTTCACATTTTAAAGTGTCCAGTAATACCTTTAAATTCGCTGCTGCAAATCCGGATGCAGAAGGATTCCAATAAATTATGCTGTCAGTGCCTTTGGAGCATATGGGCCCATCCATCAAAGACAAGATACTGGAGAAAATGACGATTTTAATCTTAACGCAGCATGTTACATTCTTAGGCACCCTCACGCACCAGTCTCGCTTTTGTCTTCTGCTGCTCTAAACCTGTGCGTGACAAATTGCGAAATGAGACCTAAAATGGACTGTTTGACTATAATGAGATTGATCTGCATTCATATGTGCAGCTAATTGGACGAGTTCCTCCGCTGCTTTGTTTAAAGTTAGATCGCCCTTCCTTTGAACCGCCTGCCTAAATCAGGGGCCGCCTTCTTCGAGCGAACAGCAGAGTAAGAGAGGCAGCTCTTGACAGTGTGCCTCGAGGGGTTTCTTCAGAGTCACATGATGTAGAAGAAAAAACGGGGAGGCTGCGAGGAGCAGAAAAGCACAGCCTTCTTTATTCTGTAGAGGCATTCATGACAACTGGAATGACCCAGCCTTGCAAGTCGAAACGAAAAGGAAGAGCAGCGTGCATTGTGCAGCCGGGACCCTGTCTGAAATGCCCCGTACACAGCTGCGTAAACGGCTGTTGGCAAAACTTAAGTGCCCCAAATGTGCTTTTAAACAAAGACCTTTTATTTCCAAGTGTTCTAGGTGAAGGAAAGCGATAGCTGGGAAAAGAGCAGCAGAAAGCGGTTTTAATGGAGAGAGATGGTCGGCTTCAGCCTCTGCCTGGAGCTGGCGTTCTGCTCTTCTTCCACCTCAGCCTCCCCCACTCACCCACCCACCCCACACAGGCTCTCATTGGTTGACAGAGTACCTGTCTGCTGGAGAAAGTAGCTATTGATGTATTTAGGCATTTTATCCCATTTTCCTCCCCCCCCAAGTGGCTTATAACATACCAAAACTACAGTTTAAGTAACTTAAACAAAAATGCAATTTAAATGAAAGAGGGAAATACACTAAACAACCTCTTGAGCTGGTCCTGGATCCACTGATCTGGTCCATGCAGATCGTAGGCTAACCAGCAAGGGCCAAGAGCTCTCTGGCTTTGCTGGAAGGATCCAGCCTCGGTATAACCAGAGGCAGAATATCGCCGGACTGTAGAGAAACAAACTGCAGATCGTATTCGGCTGCTCACAGCTTTATTATTGTATCTTTATGAAACTTCCCAATAAACCTCCCACATTAGGTAATAAGCCTGACCAAGTATCTATAACCATTTCCACTAGGTGCTTTTGACAGTACCGAACAAAGTGCCGTTATGAACACTAAATATTGCACAGCTCTTTTCATTGCTTCCTGAGTGATTGTTCTCGATCGTGACCAGCTCCACCTCCTCTTTCCTTGAGTGCAGGGCTAGAGAGCCAAAATAGATTTCGGGGCAGGCACGCTGGCTGTGGAGGGCACAGTAAACCCTGTATCCTGGCAGCAGGTGGCTTTATTCTCTGCGGGGTGTGTTTACAGCTCCCGATGTGTGTTCCTTGCTCTTTCAGTCCCAGTTTCTTCACATTCAAGACCAAGAGAGGCAAGTAAGCGCACAGCTCAAACGCTCCCATCCTCTTGCCAGCATCCCATGAACTGTCAGCTAGTGCTGCCATATATTTTTTTAAGGTACATCCTTGGATCCTTCCTGTCACATGCCATCTGGTGGTGTCGGCTGTCCCCAGATGTACAACAGCATTCCTCCTCTCTGAGCACCCATCTGCTGTGTGCTCCTCCCTACCTGGGCTCAGCATCCGCCTCTGTCCCCATAGCTGCAGAGGGGATTGATAGAACGGGCTCCGTGGCTTCCTCCCCTTGTCCTAGCCCAGCTTGTCAGTGAGCTGATTTACTTACTCGCACTCGGATTATGAATTTTTATGATCCCGCAAAGGACTATATTTTATGCATGATATTTCAGATTTCCAGTAAAGTACTGAGCATGAATTTAGTGTGGCATGACCTGTTGGCTGGCTCCTTGCTTATGCTCTTGATTCAGTGATGCTGCGGTCCTAAGTGGACTTGTCAGGAAGATAATCCCTGAGAAGTCTGACTTATTTCCACGTGGGAATAGGCTGCATCTCGTGTGCCTAATTCATATTCTGTTGTGACAGCAATCTTAATTCCTCAGGGAGGGGGATTTCCACCCTGCACTTAATGCATCATGTGACACAAGACCTCCGCACGGAGACCCAAATACACATAAAGCTGCTTCATGCATGCTCTGTGTGCATGAAGAAGTTGTACAGCTACGGTACATATTCAGTAAGTCAATCACTGTATGTGGCCATTGGCCGTTACGAGTTAAAACATGCTAAAATTTTACAATACAATGCCCATCTTTAGGTATTCACTTCCACACTCAAAAGATGCTTAATACCTTGAATTTTAAAAAAGCGAACATCCCTCTCCAAAGATTCACAGGCAGATTCAAGAAATATGAATTACACATCAGGAGATCACATTTCATTTAGCTGCTTCCATGAGAACCGACTTTGACTTTCCTAGTCGCTAGTGCAAAAAGTGCCCCCTTATTGGAACCAAAGGAGTCCACATCTGACAGCAAAAATATTAATTTATGTCAGAACAAATTGTACAGTCGGTCTGTTATGCTAGTCAAAAAATTACTTCCGAGTTCTGACTACAATAGGCTGGCTATATAGTGGTCCAGGCTAAATCCCCCAAATGTGAACAAAATCCATGGAACACCTTTTATCTTGGACCAAACAAATTAGCGTAAGGTGCCAGGCAAGCTCTCAAGCCTACCAATACTCTTCATCAAGCTTGGTGGTACAAGATTTAAGAAGATATAAGGGTGGAATGCAGGTTGGGGGCCAGGGTGTAAAGGTCTGATGTGAAGAGCTTACTCAGTGAGATGACCAGCTGGCCGTGAACTGAACTCGTTGCTCTTTGTACAGAAACCATCCAAAGTTTCCTTTGAGCATGAAAAGGAGGTCCATATGGGAAGCAACTGTGCCATGTAGTACAGTCAATGTTGAGAAGGACACTCCAGGTGCTGACCACAAGCACCGGAAGCTTTCAGACTAAATGGGGCTAGAAGGTCTGTGATCTCCCTTCCTGCTCCTTACAGAAGTGAACAGTAGTTGTGGGGAGGGGGGATGAATTGAGCTGGTGGCGTGCTGCTGGAGGAGGGAGTGACTTCCCCCTCAAAACCGTAGCCCTCCTGCAGCTGCTGTGTGCTCAATAACCGAGAACCCACAGGTTCCATACAAAGGGAAGTTTCAATACGCCAGCAAGCCGACCTCTGTATTATCTCTTTTCTTACAGTCTTTATTCCAATCTTAGCTATAATTATTGCTCAGTTACTTATGCCTCTTGACTCTAACCAGCTTTTCCTGGCAACTAACTCTCCCCACCTGCATGTAATACCTGAGGAAATCTGTTTCAATCTATGTGAAGAAGTGTGCACATGCTAAGTCTCTGTTCTCGCATGTACAGAGGGTTGAGCTTGGTTTGTGTTGGGGGTGCAGCTGGACTCCAATTTCGCAAAACTAACCGAGAAGGGAGAGGGTAAATCTAGAAATGAAAAGGTGGAAACTCTCCCAAAAAGTTTTTAAGACAAATAATGATACTCATAGGAATATGTTAAATATATTGAATATGTAAACACATACAGCACATCAAAAGAATGTAATGCACATCATAGAGTTACACACAGGGCTATTTTTGGGCAGGAACGCACAGGCACGGAGTTCTGGCTGGCTTCAGAGTTGGCCATGCCCACTACAGCCACAACCTCTGTGTGCATGGCTACAGAGGGAAGGCCTGGAGAGTGACACACACCCCAGCGACTCTGAGGCGGGCGTGCCTTGTGGCTAAGGAGAACAAGAGCGGCGCAGGAGGGCAACAGCTGTGACCAGGACAGCCCAGACGAGCCCAATCTCATCAAATCTGGGAAGCTAAGCAGGGTCGGCCCCGGTCGGTATTTGGATGGGAGACCACCAAGGACTCCCAGGGCTGCTAAGCAGAGGCAAGCAATGGCAAACCATCTGTGAACATCTCTTGCCTTGGAAACCCTTCAGGCTGCCATGAGTCAGGTTGACGGGGGAGGGAGTCACAAAATAAAATTTGTAAAGTTACACTGTTTG